CAAGTTTCAATAGATATTGTAATCAGTTGACTGAAGCGTTATAGTGATTGCGTTTAGTTTTACGCCGCTTTTAGCAATATTCCAGCAATGTCACGGCGGGGGACACCAGAAATTGGCTTCACACATTGTACCCATCTGGGGAATCGAACTCGGGTCTTCGGCGTGACGAGCGGCCGCTTTAACCACTGGGCTACCCCACCGCCCCTGAAGCGGTGTAACATATGCGATACCTCCCTTCAAAGCTCAAGTTGACATATAAAATTTCTTTAAATACTGAAACGAAATTAAAGAACACACGATTCTTTTCAAATTCATGAGAGAATTGCTAGTGTATATAGTGAGAAGATAAGAAAGAAACTTTGTGGTTGCGTTACAAAATTGCCGCATGAAATGACTTTTCTAATTTTCTTAACACTGCCGACTCTATTGGCAATTTGTTCAACAAATTAAAGATTAATATGAAATAACAATCAAATTAGTGTTGAAGAGAGTATTCATTGCTAAATACGAAATAACGTTTGGCGGAGTTCAATACTGTTTACATAATTTCGGTGAAATCGTGAGTAAACTGATCGGCAGGTCGCATCAACTGAGCGTTACAAACTTTTGACTGGAAACGAACCTCGGCTGACAAAGAATGGATACGTATGTCATTAACGCCAAACTGCGACTCAATATAAGTGATATTTGCTGGAGTTAGGCAATTATATCGAAATCTAATGTCTGCACGATCGAAATAGCGTCACCCAGGAAGCCTCGGCTGTGACTGATCACACTGGTTATAATGGTTATACTGCAGTGATGGTTATTGTCATTTAATATTAACATGCTATCCCTCATACGATATTACTTTCAGAAAAAATTCCTTCCCATCATGGCATCGAAATTCTTGAAATTCCTATTTTGTAACCGAATCTCACTTGGAACAGATTATTGCTATTCCGAGAAAATACGTACGTGACCTTAATCTCTGTATATCAATCATGTGTACTGATGTTTTATCGCAAATGTCACATTTTTGCTACCATGTTTGCCACAACCAATTCGTTCACTTAAAGAAAACGATATGATTTAACTACCAATGCACACACGCATGCACACGCACACACATACATGTGCATTTGTGTATCTTGAACACAATAATGGAGATCCGTGTCATTTTGTTTTATAGCTGTGAATGTTTTAAGTCTCTCGTGACATGTGGTGGTGGTGGTGGAATTGGGTTTAATGTCGTGCTTGAGAATATTTCGCTCATATGACCCATGTGCATGTATGTGCGGCTGCTTGTACTAGCCCAGACTGAAGCTGGTTTTATAGTGTTAGCCCACTGAGATACCATGTCGCAGTGAAGCATGAATACTCCACTCAGACACATTATACTGACTCCGAGCTGACCAGTCCTTGTTGTACCCATTAATGCCGAGCGCCAGGCAGGGACCAACAAGTACCATATTTTAACGTCTTTTGGTATGACGCGGTCGGGGATCGAACCCGCGACCTTCCGCACTGACGCTCTAATCACTACGCCACGGAGGCGGTCCTCGTGGCATGTACATAAAAGGGAGTTAAGTATAAGGTTAGATCTTCTAAACTGTAGTGTGATGGCCTTGTGTACGAGACTTGGTCTCGTCGCTGTATGGCTGAAATAATACCATTTATGTGCATGAGTACGTGCGTGCGTGTGTGTTTCGCTACACTTATGTACTGAATGCAAGTTTCAGACCTGCACTTAATTTGGTCGTTTTTCAGATTAGACGTGTTTCGACCAACGACAGTTTCGTGTGAAGACTAATACAGAAATTCGACCGGCATTGTAAGAGTAAGTCCAAATGACGTGGGTGTGTGCGTGGGTGCGTGCGTGCATGCGTGCGTAAACCATTTCAATATGTTCCAAAATTCGAAATACCAAATTGTTGCAATATGTGACCTATTTGCACCGGAATTCTATTTCTTCTGTCTGTTTAATGCATTCAGCAACATCCGGCGTATCCCCTCCTACATATAATACTGAATCTTCACGGGAACTTCTTTTTTGAGCACAGTTGTTTGTTGCATACGTGAAGTTCGCAAATGATTGGCTAAACGACATATTTTAGAAGTCAAAAGAAACACAAACTGTTTCCCCTTGAAATGTCATGCTGGACAGGAGTTGCCTCCCTTGCTGGAGCACTAATTTCCGGGTACATAAAAAGCACACCACTTAAAATCAGATTTATTAATCCGTTAGGTTAGAGCCCTGCGTTAGATCTGACGACACAGCAACTGTAGGTCAGGGGCAGCGGGGTAGCCTAGTGGTTAAAGCGCTCGTTCGTTACGCCGAAGGTCCGGTTCGATTCCCCACATGGCTACAATGAGTGAAGCCCATTTCTAGAGTCCCCTGCCGAGATATTGCTGGAATATTGCTAAATGCGGCATGAAATCCAACTCACTCACTAGCTCCTGTGAAGGTCGCGTAAGATTATTATAGTATATTTACATAGCGCACATATCCACGCAACTGGTGCATGCTCAAGGCGCTGGTATTTTAGGGTGATTATTCACCCTCAGATGAACGCTGAGGGACACACAATCTGAATATATGGGTTCCTCAGCCAGTCAGATATCAGTTTCGAAAGCGCTTCAGACCTCGATTTTAACAGTGAGAGAGAATGAGTTTTACCTTGCATCAGCCATACAGCAACACTAATTCTTAAGTGGAAGGTATTCTATATTATAGTTAGAATTAAAATTGTTACAACAGTTTTTGCTTTGTTTTGTGTGATGTTTGACTCCACACTCAACAAAACTAAAGCTAAAAACTGCAGTCTGTAAATAATCTAGCACAGACCAGACATTCCAGTGACTGACATCTTGAGCATAGAGTTTGGGATAGGACATGCATCAACCAGTGGGCATGAGACACCGATCCTCCTAGCTGCCTCTTGCAAGCATGGCTTGATGAAGACCAATTCTAACGGGGACCTTCAGAGGTCCAAGTAACAAAATGACAGCACATCACATCAATGGTTTATTTGTACAGAAATATTGTATGAAAGTATGAAAAAAGTTCATTGGGTTAAGTACTGGCAATGGTAGGTCATGTAAACAAACTGACTAGTTTCACTTCTGTGGACCAATTAAATTTTTGACTGGTCGGTTCCCTTTGAACAATAGGGACATAACGATAATTATTAAAGCAAAAAATACTGGATTATAAACAAAGAAATGTTCACTGTTAGCTCTAGATGTGGAAGTCAATGTATGGGTGACCAAAGACTAGTATCTAATTTCATCACATGTTCATGTACAATAAATCAGTCCGTCTTCAAAGAAGCAATTGTTTCGGTAAATTATCTTCAAACTCCACAATTATCTTATCATAAAACTGTCAAAGAAAATTGAACAAACCTCAGGAAACTCAAACTGGGTGTTATTATATAATCTCTAGACTCTTCCCTCCAATAATACCGTAATAACTAGATACATCTTTAGAAGATTCCTATGTCATTGCTTCACTGATCTTGCATGCTGATTTTCTTACTTAGGGGTAGGTTATAACCAAATAGCCTGCATCCCATTGATCTGTGCATGTGAAGATAGTAGCTGCACGAAATGTCAGAAGTTGGAAGGAAACAAAGCACAGTGTGCAGGCCCTAAGTGTAAAAAATATCAGTAACTGACAAATGTTTTGCTAAAATAAATGTTAAGTGTGAGGAGATAATTCACTGAAACAACTTGATTTTGAACATGTAGAAAGGATTGCTCACTCCTCAGAATCATCATAACATTATTTAGGTGGTTGGTAGAGTTATTACAATATGATAAAGCTTTTCACACTGGCCAATGGATGATGAAACGAACGAACAAATGAATATTGCTTTACGCTGTATCAGCAATCTTCCAGCTATTTGTGGCGAGTGAGAAAACAAAGCCATCGAACTGATCCCACTATATACATCTGATTCATCTACAAATTTGACAGATAAACACAAAGTTTCCTTGGCTTCTCTTGGGTTTTTCCAACAAATTAATTTGGTATCCAAACTGTATGTACATGTATAAAAATATATACAAATACAAATATAGCACTATACAGAGATAATTTAAAATAACTTTATGGCAATATGTGTCACAAACTGGAAAGTATCATACAATGTAAAAATTACAAAATCAAGTGACTTTTGGCCAACAAATGATGCAGATATTGTCCGTACAAGTCAAAGAACCAGAACTTTTATTTGAATTTCAGCGAAACTTCAAAATTTGGTTCTATTTTAAAGAATTGAAAAGTTTTATGGTTCATTTGGCTCCAAGTTTAACAGCTACAAAATAGCCTCTGAGATCCAAATAATTGTTCAACATCAGGAGTATGTACTCTTTATTTTTTCAATATAAGAGTACTGGAAAACCTAAGAGTACATTTAGAGTACTGAATGGAAATTAATCGAGTATCATTAATCTTGTGTTTCATTTCATATATGAACAATAAAACAATACTTTTTCTGATAAATACGACTGTAAATGATTCTATTGCAATGGTGCGACTCTGCTACGTTTTCCAAAATATTTCCTACCGTATCTTGCATATTTTTCATCTGTACATACACCGATATGGCCCTTATCTGGAGCCCTGAGCTGTCAAGAAAACTGTACTATCTGATTCAGCAATCGAGGGTGTATTAAAGGGAACCTTTGATGGAGTATTTGGAACTGTATTAAACTAAGAAAAGCAGCATATCATTCCATAATCTACAGAAGGAAATACTGTACAATGGCAGTGGCATAAAACAGTGGTCCTTTGAGGGTAACATTTTGTTCAATACATGGCCACACACATCTACACAACTTTATCCTGTCATTTTTGTGTCTACAAACTCTTGCATAATGACAGAGTATCATTAACCATTAGAGCTATGATGATACATCGTAGTATTGATAATCGTGATACTTTATCTGACGATAAATATATCGATACTTTTGTTCGTATCGTGATATGTATCGTTGACCTTAATTTTGTTAATGTTCACTTGAAATTGACGGTTAAGTAAAAATTTACACTGTTACTTGCTATGAAAATATACTTTTTTAAAGAAAATAACTAAAGAAAGCATATTCTGATATGCATCGAATCGAATCGTTCCAAGATATCACGATACGTATCGTATCATCACACCTATATTAACCATGATAATACATGGGATCTAAAATGACTTTCAATACACAATATGGCCAAAATATTATCAATTTTATATAGGACATTTGACTATCCTTGAAGGACCAATACCAATGCCATCTTTGCACAGTGTGTTCATTGAGGTGATCATGAGTATCACGAATCCACCACAGCTTGTGTACCAAGATATCTCATACTGTTGTACAGTTTGTAAGATCATGTATTCAACAGCAAATAAAGCAAATTTTTAAAAAAAAGAAAAGATGTCTGTACAGTGGCTGAGCATAGTCAACTTTTCCAACACAAAATCATAGTTTCCTTCGGACTTTAGTCCATTCTTAGGCTGTATATGATATACCACATCGTGTATGAGTATTTTACCAAGTGTCCATGACATGAATCGGAAAAATACAAAGCTGGTGTGATGATTCGTATTGAAGGTGTTTTCTGATGGCGTCTCCTTTGTAAAAGAGGCCTCAATCCTTTATATTTAATAGAAGATAGACTAATTTGTCTTAGGTGAGTTTCTCGCTATTCTTTGATGGAAATGATTCCTTCACACAAATCTGAGGTTTTCATGCACAACATCCCAACCTTACTGTCAAGGTCCATTCAGTTTTGTGACAATTTACATGGTTAAAGCCACAGCCCAAACGTTTCTCAAAATACTGTTGAAGCAAAATGGTCAAATCACATCTTCCTTGTTCATCCACAAGCTCACTTCAAACGTCACTACTGTCAAACAGGACTTCAGAAGTCTACTGAAAATACACAGTCAAATCATCACTTGCCACAATCCACTCGGGTGATCCAAAAGATGAATGCAGCACAATACTTGGGAGCAATGTTAATGGGAGGTGGCAGGGAATCTTAAACAAACACAAGTCTTGTACATGGCTAAAACAGGCATGATGCACTCATTCTAAGTGTTGTTCATTCCCAAAAGGAGGCTTACATTACCCTGGTACTTTCAGTATCACCATTTTTCTTACTGTAAGCATCACTGTTTGTTTTCACTTCAAGTGGCACTCTTTGTTCTCACTTTAAGTGTTAATCTTTTTCCACATGAATCTCCTCGACAGTAGTTTAACACTAGCGTCATGAGCAGAACAGAAGTCCATTGTGGTTTAGCTACATAACGTATTAGTTTCTATCTTCTAGCCTCTGTGTAAAGCTTAATAGCTTCCTTGAAATTAGTCCTGTGGCAGTTTCATCTATGACCAGTTTGGTCTACACAGATCTGAGGTACTTCCAGCAAGGCCATACTGTAATTCAGTGGTCTTCTACTTCAATTAGCATTACTGACTTTGTGAGAAATCCAGTCGTCCTTCCAGAGAGTCAGTATTCTCATTACTTGAGGTTTTGTCGATCGTTGTTCCTAAGGGACACACTGATATCATGAAATATGAAGCAAGTCCTCCGTTTTTTGTCTCTTGGGGTCGGACACGCCATCTTCGTTGGTGATCACTGGAACTGGGAGGGGCTTGGGAGGGTATTTCTTGGCAAATGTGCTGTAGTGGGGAAGATACTTCAACACAAGCTCCTCGAAGAAGCCCCTCACAGTCTTACCAGCTTTACCAACTTCGGAATTTTCCTGGAAAAACAATGTGATGTGTGAAAATTTGCATTACTATTTACTTTCTATTCAAAAGCTAGTTGTGTGTTGAAAGTCTGGTTTAACAAGGGTTGGTGGTTCAAAATACCAGTCAGAACATAAAGAGTTCGTATCTTTCTTTTATTTCATACTACAGCTTCACAGTGTTCGGGACAAAGATCACTGAATCAACGATCCAGAGCTGGTTACAATCTCCATTAGAAATGAAATGACAAATACCTCACTAACACACTTGACAAGACACACCTAAAGGCAAGAATTTATGGATGTCAACTTCTTTATTTAGTTGGACACCACATTTCAGAGTATATTCTTACTCCTTCATCAGGTTATATGCATAAGATCATAGATGCCCCGAAATGTTATATCAATCAAAATTATGAGGTGACATCCATAAATCCTTGCCTTTATGTGTATCACTTCTAAATGTTGTTCAAAGACTCTATAAGACAAACCTAATCTTATCAACAGTATATTACCTGATTGTAGGTCGCACAGTTCAGGAAGACCAGTTTCACATCAGCTAGAAAGTCTTCTATACAGTTGTAATGGTTGAAGTGTTGCCGTGACAACTTGCACTTGATGGTGGTGAAATCCATGGGCACCTGGATGATCTTGTAATAGTTTGGAACCTGCAACAAAAGATGATATGTTTTACCACTTCTGGATAACAGCAACAGATGAAAAGTGTGGATTCCATAAAACCTAATCCAGGTAGACACATGATGTAATGGTTTGGTTCAGAACAATAGAGTTGTACTCTCTAACATGAGTGAGTGAGTGAGTTTAGTTTTACGCCCGCACTCAGCAATATTCAAGCTATATGGCGGCGGGCTGTAAATAATCGAGTCTGCACCAGTAAATCCAATGATCAACAGCATGAGCATCGATCTACGCAATTGGGAACCGATGACATGTGTCAAGTAGGTCAGCAAGCCTGACCACCCGATCCCGTAAGTAGCCTCGTACGACAAGCATGGGTTACTGAAGATCAATATTCTAACCCGGACCTTCACAGGTAAGAACACATAAACATTCCCATATTATGTTCACTATATAGACAGTGAATGTAGGGGAATTAAACATGTTTACATTTTCCTTCAGTTGTATTCAGTTCCAAGTAATAACAAAACTGAAATCTTGATGACTGGTTCAGAATTATCGATCTCATATGCAGACTACCATCATTGGCTTTTTACTTGCCCATAGCACAATGTAGTTGTCTCGGACTACTATACAAGCATAAGTATGAAGTCTGAGCTCCGAGAAGTCTGTGCATACCTGTTTGCTGACGGGTTCATGGAAGGCAACACTGCTGGGGTGACAGAACAACTCGAGCATCATCCTCTCACACACCTGGAACAGAGGAACATACGGTCAACATACATACACACAGTGAGTGAGTGAGTGAGTGAGTGAGTGAGTGAGTTTTACGCAGCACTCAGCAATATTCCAGCTATATGGCACTGGTCTGTTAATAATCAAGTCTAGACAAGACAAACCTGTGATCAACAGCATGACCATCGATCTACGCAAATAGGATATGATGACTTGTGTCAACGAGCCTGACCACCCGATCCCGGCAGTTGCCTCTTACGACAAGCATGGGTTACTGAAGATCAATTGTAACCCGGATCTTCACGGGTCACACACTTACTAACATGCATGTGGACAGTACATTACCGTACAGACCACCGACTCATAAGAACTTCTCGAGTCCCAGTGTAAGTGTTATATAAGACTAAATGATTTGTGGTGAAGATAGATGTTCAACCTTTAAGTTGTAAAGACAAAAGATCCCTAATATTAAACACTGAAGATTCAGAGGTCACTGTATTGAAATACTACGAACGCAAACTTCTTCATTTCAAAGAAACTATGTATGGCAACCTACCATTTTAATACTATAAAAGCTTTCATGACCTGTAATAATATACTGAGGGAAAAAAAAGCACAAGTGTTCCTGTGTTTTTTCCAGGTTTCTTCACAAGCGTTGTATCACATAGCTGTGATCCCTTATTTGTTTCCCTCAGTATACTCTCTGGGCAAGTCAAAACCAATTAATAAGCATGAAATTCGATCCCAGTCGTCTTCTTACCTTAATTTCCATTTCCCCTAAACCTCCTGGCGCCTTCCGTTTTGTGCCATTGCTGAGCAGCTCATCAGGCGTGGGACTGTTGATGCGGATATTGTCTCCCGTCACACACAGCGTACATACAAACACTCCGCTGCAATGATTGGATGAGCTCATTAGTCATCTGTGATCACAAATAAATCATATGACTATATGCGTGTTTGAAACACTTTCACATAGAATGTATGGACCAGACCTTTTGAGTGCTGAAACTTGGTTTCAAAAAGGAAAGGGATATACCCGATACCTAATATCATGTTCACTAAATAATGAGAAGGCTTAACAGATGTCATCATCGGGGTTGGTGAGACTGTTGAGCAGAAGAGAGAGACTGGTCAGGGATGATGAGAAGCCTTAACGGATGTCACCATCAGGGATGATGAGACTGATGAGAAGAAGAGAGAGACTGGTGAGAAGCCTCAACAGATGTCACTTATCAGGGATGATAAGAAGCCTTAACGAACGTCACTATCAGGGATGATGAGAAGAAGAGAGAGACTGGTGAGAAGACAACGGATGTCACTATCAGGGATGATGAGAAGCCTTAACAGATGTCACCATCAGGGATGATAAGAAGCCTTAACGGATGTCACCATCAGGGATGATGAGAAGCCATAACGGATGTCACCATGAGGGATGATGAGATTGGTGAAAGCCTTAACAGACGTCACCATCAGGAGCCTGCTTGAATTGGGGTGTCAAATAACCATAAATGGGCTAAGTATATATCTTGCCTGCAGGAAATTTGAAACACAACAATGTCATGCATCAAACTGACTCATTGCAAAACTTCTAAACACATGGGTGGGTCACATGCTTTGGCAAAACATATTTCGGAGTAGTGGTGTAAAGATGTGGCTATTAAGTACAGTATTGTGATACAAGTCTCATGATACATCACATCCATTTCCACTTCCTGTATCATAATACATGCAATTTATTTCAAGTTATACTTATATAAAATCATGTGAACAGAAAATGTTCAAGAACAAGTTTATGCAGATACTCTAGTATTTCCAAGTACATGTTTCTCCCATATATACCACCATCAAAAGTTTAGACTCACTTAAAGCACTCACTATATGTTATGTACATATTATGGTTAAATCAAAGATGAATTTCTCCACAAACTTGAGGGAAGTAACTTCAAACCTTATGCAGATGAATTTCACGAGGATCATGCATCAAATTGCTGAAAAAGCATGTGCAAATATCGTGCATGTGGACAGCTGCATTTTGGTACAAGGTTTTGTTAAGAATTCACCAATTTCCATGGAGCTTCTTCATTTACTGAACTCATGACAATAATCTATTCAACATTACGAACTTGTATTACAATACGTGTGTAAACAGTAAGTGGCTACATTTACACTAGTGAGTCAGTACTTTTGATGGGTAGTATAATATCCTCTATTTGCTATCAAAAATACAAAACAAACAGAAACCTGCTAATATGGAGGGAACACAAATTAAAAATATATAAATTCTGCTTTGGCATACGAATTGTGTTACATCTATAATTTTGAACTAAATATCATGGCTTTACTGTTGTGTCAACCCTCCATTTCATGTCTCTATAAAATCGAGTGCTTACTTTGGTACAGCGTTGAGAGGAGGGATGTGACACTGCAGATGGAACACACGGGGGCACGTGTCACAGCACAGAACCTCTCCACCATTGTGGCAGCAGGCACAGTAGTCCTCGTTTGGGTCGCTGAAGCTCATGTCTGGGAACATGGTGGTGGCACCGTTCTTCCCTGGTGACTCGACCGTTTTCTTGGTCAGCTGCGCCGCGTTGATTAGCTGTTTGTTGAGGTTGTTGGCAGTGAGAAGAGAAGCATCGATTTCTTCAAAAGTCTCTCCCAGTTCAAGCTCCATGGGTAATTTGTCCAATACGTCATCTAGATTCTTCTCGGCATCCTGAAGCAGAAGAGAGCTGAGCTATATACCCGACTCAAATATTTGAGTGAGTGAGTTTAGTTTTACGCCACACTCAGCAATATTCCAGCTATATGGAGGCAGTCTGTAAATAATCGAGTCTGGACCAGACATTCCAGTGATCAACAACATGAGTATCAACCTACGCTATTGGGATACGATGACATGTGTCAAGCAAGTCAGCAAGCCTGACCACTGGATCCCGTTAGTTGCCTCTTACGACAAGCATGGGTTACTGAAGATCAATTCTGACCAGGATCTTCACGGTTTCTGACTCAAATGTAAATAAAAATACAAGCAACCAACTAACTGAGACTGACAATCCGTTCCATTAAGATGATCCCTTCAGGCCAGCATAGGTGGCTAGGTATTAATTCTATCCTACCTCTTAATCAGACATTCTACAATGTCATGAACAAAAATAATATTTAGCAAGTCACTGTCAATAGCAAAACTTATATATAACGCTTATATTTTCTATATTATATATATAAATACGTCAACATCAACACTATGCTTGACTGTTGCTAAACAAGATAGCTGTATAAAATAAAAACTAAAATGCCCTAAAGAGTAAAAATATGCTGTCATGCTCTGTCAAGTATCCAATATACACTTGAAAATTCATCTTGTGATCAGAGTTACCTCCCTTTACTCACAAGCAAAGCATTATATTGCCAGCTCCTAAGCCAAGAAATGACAGGCTCATCCAACTGTCACTCAAGCTTGAATGCCTCAATATTTATTTGCAATAAGAATATCAACAGTTTTTAAAAATAACTTTTCAAATTGATCTGAAGTAAATTTACCAGTAAATTATTTCCTATTACTATTAACTGATATCAAAGTTTAATCAAATGACATTTACGACCAGTACATGCAACCATCACATCCAATGATTGTGTGGATCTGAGACTGGTTTGAAACATTTCCTGGACTTCTCAATTAGGATAAAATACCCTTGAGCTCCTTGTTCTATGAACATGTTACGCATGAAAACCTAAGATCTTAATTTACATCAGACTTTAGACTTTTCAGACCTTTTGCTATCAAAATCATCAGGAATAATACCTTTGCCTATCAAAATCATCTGGCTTTGAGACCTTTGACTACCAAGATCATCTAGAATTGAGACTGACTTAAAATTATCTAAAATATAGTAGTGGTGTAACGATTCATCGATACGCATCGACCCATGGGTCGCCGATACAATGAATCAATACAAAGTTTTACAATGCCGTATATCTAGATACGATACTTTAAATGGGCCACAATATATCGATGTTTAACTCTGAATATTGCCGAATCACGATATCTGTCAATAAAAAAGACTTACTTTTGTTTGATGATTAAAGTATATGCTTACTTATTTTCCCTTCATTAGTAAACGTTTTCTCGGAAATTCTTGCGTCGAGAACTGTGTCAGGCATGTGGTATTAACATTCACAAAGTCCGTGGATAAACGTAATTATCTCGTTTCCGAATGAACATTGAACAATGCTGGCGTAATTTGACGAAATACTTTAAAATGGTTTTATTTTTATCTTAAAGTGTTTTATAGTTGATGTTAGAACTAAAGATTTTAGTATCGTGATACGTATCGTATTGCCACCCTTATATCGGGATTCATATCGTATCGCAGCTTCAGTGCACAATACTTTGGCAATATATCGATGTGACTAAAATTTTAGTTTCGTATCGCAGGTTGTATGCCAATACCAGCACTAAAATATAGACCTTCAACTATCAAATCATCTAAGATTTAGACCTTCAACTAACAAATCATCTTGAATTAAAACCTTTGAACACAATAAATCACATGGAACTGAATACGGTGACAATAAGCATCAAAATTATTCTGTCTTTGAACAAGTGGTTAGGAAATTGTTACAGACATTTAACAGCTGAACTATTACCGACATATAAAGAGCCATGCTAAAAACAGCCATGCTTTGTGACATCAGCTGAGTAAAGCCCTCTTTCAAAGACGCACATCTTGACAAACGGTTATTGACAGAATATAAAACTGAAATCCAGGCCGCTAACAACGGTCATGCCATGCCGAAACTTGAACACTCTTTTACTTTATCGTCCATAATTTCCATGAGATCAGTGGGGGCACTCACTGGTGGGGGTACGGCGGAGGCAGCGGCAGCTGGGGGGTTATTTGCGGGGACAGGTGGTGCTCCAGGGCTAGTCGCGGGCGCTGGCTTGGGGGTGGACTGAAAAAGATGGTAAAAAAGTTGCATATAAAGTCAAGTGCATAAGCAGTCAGGGTTTGTTCTTTTATAACTACTGTTCCTATAAAAATATCAAGGAATGTATTGACATTGTTTGAGACTGGTTTTAGACAAGATCACTCTTATCTAAATGTATCAGACATTTTCTTAAAACAACCGTTAAAAAATCTAATTCAACTGAACTGTTATTCAAGTTAATTACAATTCAGCTGACGGTACAATTCAATACAACACATGGCGGTGGGGTATCCTACACAATGATCTATGCATTAACATTTTGGTATAAAAATGCCAAAAAGTCAATTATTTCAGAATCTAAATTTTTGTAATGTTTATGTTCTACGATATGTAAATATCACTTATGAAAATACAAAGTAGAGAATGACTGAATATTGCTTCATGCCACGCCAGCAGTTTTCCAGCTATTTGTGGCTGCACAAAACAGAGAAAACATAGTTACAACTACTCAAATATTGGCATCATCTGCAGACACATTTCATGCACAAAGCTTAACAAGCAAAAAGAAAACTGGGGTACTTTCCTACAGTGATTCTAAATGTTCATATAGTGATGAAATACTTTTATACATGTAACCAAAGTTACATAAAACCTAATAAAAATACACATCACTCAAATGATGATAAAATACACAATGTCTAAAAATAACTAAAATTAATCTGTTCAGGGATTGTTTCTTTGACATAAAACCTGAATGAATAATACCGACATAATGCAGACTTACTTACCTTTAAGCACTTTCAGGATTATAGCAAATCCTTACATGTTGAATTACATATAATTTTTATTTACAGTCATAAATATTGATAACAGGTTTAGTTTCATACAATGGCCAAGGCAATAGATAACACGAGAACAGTGATATATGCCCACCACTACAGTAGGGGTCCCTGGTGAATATATATACACTGCAGGGAAAGAAACCTTTCAAAAGTCCCCACTAGACCACAGGACCAGTGAGTGGACAATAATTAGTGGTCCTGCCTGTACTTCACTGGTCCGAGATAACATTCGTACATTTACTTAACTATCAATACAAAATTCATTCCCACTGCAAACATATCATTTTGTGGTCCTGATAAATTTGTACTTGCCAGGGACCACAGGACCAGCGTATATTTCGTCCACTGCACTGAAAACCCCTTTAGTCTAGATATCAAAATTGTCCACAAAACTCTACCACAGGTGAAGCTACTAAATCTACACACCGAGTTAACAAAATTATTTGTGCAGTTAATGCACTGCCGCAACGAATGCGCATGTGCTTCAGTCACACAACAATACCAACTTAGGACACTTAACGACAGATTGCGAATGTAGGTGTACCCCAAATATTCTTGAGTACTGATGCTCACCCCTGAGCAAGATGAAGATGTCTTTTCTCCCTTGACTTCTGCTCCTGTAATGACACAGTCCATCTCAAAGCTTGATCGTCTCTCCTGTTTGATGCTCACACCACTGTAAAGCAAATCAGAATTTTATCATCAAGATCATGCTATCAGTAACACAATTATTATAAACAGCATTTAATCATATTTAATCACGACTTTGCTAAACATCTGCATGTTGTACCTACCCTGGCAGTGTGCTGTTCTCATTACTGGAAGGTCTCTGGGCAGATGCCGATCCCGAGGAACCAGCTGAAGAGGGACGGCTGCCATTGTTGCTGTTGCCGCTGCTACTGTTGTTCGGTGGAGTGCTGCTCTGGTTCGGACTTCGGATCAGTGGAGGAGGACCTGGTCAAATTTAACATGGATTATAAATGTGCTAGATGAAAGGCTTGAGTTTGCAGTGAACATAAGGTCAGATCCATGTTAATATACAGGTCTGAGTACCCATTCCTACACCAATATAACTTGTAAAGCAAGGCATATACAGAGATGCCAACCCTTATTTAGCCCAATTAGTATTTTTGGCCAAAAACTGATGCACAAATTAGTATTTTGGGGCCAAAATTAGCATTTACTTTTCCAAAGAATTTTCATATTCAAAACAAATAATAGAAAGATAGTCAAAGAACTTGTTATAACATTGTACTCACCTAAATCACTAGTAAGTATCCAAATATAGCTTGATACTGAATAAAATGTGGTTGAAATTTATTGTGTCTGGTATGTATGCTATATGATATTTTACTGCTATCACAGTCGCGTATTTTGTGTTGCGTTTTTGTAACGAATACGATAAAATCGTATGGGTTGGCATCTCTGCATATATTGTGATACAGATACAGGGGATGTAAACTGATGTATTGTAACTTGGGCCTGCGATACTGTATTGCTGTATCATACCACTGCTGACTGATATTACACCTGACAATCCACATCACTGCATGAAATTAATCCCCAAGCCTACTACCTCAGGGCTCCAGATAAGGGCCGTATCGGCGATGTACGGATAAAATATATGCACGATACGGTAGGAAATAATTTAGAAAACGTAGCAGATACGCACCACAGCAATGGTGTACGGTCTTAGAATCATTTACAGACGTATTTATCTGAAAGCGTATTGTTTTATTGTTTATGGACCTGTTTACACAAGACTAGCAATGTTGTGGTGCATATATGAAACGAAACACAAGATTACTGATAGTCCATTAACTTCCATTCAGTACTCTAATGTACACTTAAGGTTTTCCAGTACTCAGTATTGAACAAATAAGGAGTACGTACTCCTGATGTTGAAAAATTATCTGGAGCCCTGCTACCTAATCCTCTAAATCAACTTCAGACAGACAGTCAAAACAACCAAAATAACCCCCAATCTCCCCATTTACAAAACCAAGTTAAAACATGGTCCTATGAATTTCTTGAAATGTTTCAGTGAATTTACCTCTGCTTGCTTGAGAGTGTTGTTGTTGTTGCAGTTGTTGTTGTTGCTGCTGTTGCTGAAGCTGAATCTTAAACTGAGTGTTGACCGTCTGGGTAGGTTGCTGGCTATGCTGGGAGTTCGCATAAACACTCTGCTGTGTGGCGGGACGATGTTGCAGCCTCATTGGTTGAAATGGTTGCTGCTGCTGCTGCTGCTGTTGGTGCTGGTATGCACGCTGCATGTTTAGAGTTTGAACGTTCAGATTTGCCACTTGCTGTTGCCTTGGCCAGCCATTATTCTGTGCAGTGCTCATTCTCATTTGAGACACCAGGTTGGAGACACTGGTAGGTACTCCAGACTGTTGCTGCTGGGCATGATTTTGTTGCTTCTGCTGCAGAAGTGACTGCATGTGGGGATTGTTGCTGATGTGATTAGCAGCCTGCTGGAGAGCTAGCAACATCTTTTGACGTTTGACCTTGTCGTGTTCGGCAAGAATCTGGTTGGTGCTATATGCAGGAGGATTGGGGTAGGAATGTTGACTCGGAGCAGATTGATTGGAGTTGTTTTTGTCTTGGGGATGGTAACGTGAATTGTTCACAAAGATCGCACCAAATCGGTGGAGATTAGCGAAAAGAAACTGATTGTCATGTTTGTACTGTACAACAAACTGACTCTTTACTGTCTGAGCTTCTATGGGGCTGGTATAAATCCTACCACATTCTTTCAAGACCAATGCCTCAGAAGACAATAATGCCATGTTGCTTCCCTCTTTCATAATCTCTTGTAAAAAGCTGGAGCAATATTCATACTTCCCAAGAATCTTGTTAAGTTCTATTGATTCCTTAGACAATTTCTTTGCCATGGCTTCACAAGCCGTCTTAACATTCTGAAGCAACTGCCTTGCACTCTGAATAATCTGCTTGATCAGCAAATCTGCCTGAGATTGTACTGCTTTTACAATCTGTGAATGTTGATCTTTCACCTGTTGAATCTTGGACTCAATGACCTGATGAACTTGACCTAGTTTCTTTGCTCGCTCTGACATGTGAAACATGTGATCTTGTAGCAACTTCTTGTAATTTGCCGCAGCAACATCTAGAAACTGATATTTGTGGTCCTTATGCTCCACAAGCTGACAATCTCGACATGTGAGAATATCGCACGATTCACAGAAGAACATAAGCTTTTCTTGTTTGTGTTGTTTACAGTACAGTGAAGATTCTGTCTGCTTGCCGGTGTCGGAAACAGGGGCCTCTTCTTTCGGGACAATCTTGTGGTCCTTTGTGACACGGACCCGTCTGTGTGCTGTCACACATTGTTCACATAGCCACTCCATGCACTCCAGGCAGAAGGAGGTCCCGATCTCCTTCTCCTCACACGCTGTGCATTCATGGATGCTCGTCTCTCCATCAACAGTTTCTTCGGGTTTGGCATCCTTCTGTAGCTGCTCATGGACAAAGAGATTGTCGCATAGGTTGGCGGGATCGTATGTTTTCTCACAGCAAGGACACTTTTGAACTGGAAAATAAACATGAGACGGTGAAAAACAGTGAAACACGGACATGAGGCAGTGGAAAGAGTGAAACATGGACACTTGTTCTCAGGCAACGGTCACAATGCTCTACTATGAACCAAAAATACTACATTCTACTTGCCAAACATTTACCATTTTGGGGAGGTCCCCCAAAAAGGGACATTATGATACCATGACTTGAAACTAGTCAGCTAACGCCACACACTGGATCTATATGACCGAGTTCTATAAATAATGCAGACCATGCCAGAATGTTTTTTACACTGCTTTTAGCAATATTCCAGCAATATCACAGCTGGGGACACCAGAAATGGGCTTCACACATTGTACCCATGTGGGGAATCGAACCCTGGTCTTCGGTGTGACAAGCTGACACCTTAACCACTAGGCTTCCCAACTGCCACAGACCATACCAGACAATGCAATGATTCATCTACGTAACTGGGACGTGATAACATGCATAAGTAATCGCCATCACCAAGTCTGAGCTACCTCGATTACAAGCATGGATTACTGAAGATCAATTCTAACCAAGATCTTCACTCCTTGAATATTTGAGACAATGTTGTGACATCACAATATGCAGTTTTTTTTCAAGAATGCAATAAATATGGACAAGTCATCCCATGTGATATCTGGATGAGTGAGTATGGTTTTACGCCACTTGTAGGAATATTCCAGCAATATCACCGTGACACAAGAAATGGGCTTCACACATATTAGCAATGTACCCATGTGTGGAATAAAAACCTGGGCCTTCAACGTGACAAACCAACACTTTAACCACAAGGCTACCCCACTGCCAGCATGAATACTGACACAGGCTTTCAGAACATGATAAGAACTGCAATGTTTTGACTTCATAAATCATTCAGATTTTCCATGTTTTACTGGACATCCCAACAAGAATCTAACAAACATGGTCGAATGACGGAAAGATTTCTGCCTGTAATCCCCATTTTTGAAAATAATAATAATTTTTTATCATTCTATGCCTAAGAATAGATGGTTTTTTACATTTCATATTGTTCAAAACATTATGTAGATATTTCAATAGTGACTTTATTGTCGAGATAACTTTCCCTTAAATTTTATTTCCACGACAACACCATTTGGACATTTCAAGCAGGAGTTAAGGTGGAACTCATCAGACTGACAACTGTCATGTGACACACAGTGAGTGAGATTAGTTTTTATGTCGCACTCAGCAATATTCCAGCTATATGGCGGCGGGCTGATCGTAATTGAATCTGAACCAGACAATCCAGTGATCAACAGCATGAGCATCAATCTACGCAATCCGGAACCTATGACATGTGTCAACCAAGTCAGTGAGCCTGAATAGTGTGATCAATGACAGATTTTATCACAATCTCTTCAATTCACTTTGGAGTAAAGAAAACTTTCCCCTGGAGTTCATCCTCCTTGAGTTAGTGAGCGAGTTTACTTTTATGCCGCTTTCAGCAATATTCCAGCCATATCATCCCTTACAAGATCACAGCTGGCTTTCAATCAATCACGTTTTCAATTGGAGGATAATTAAATGTGGAATGAGCATGTTGGCTGGTCACAGGTAGTGAAAACCATCTGTCCACAAATACATTTAATTGTCAAAAACATTTTATTTGAACCCATGGCATTTCTATCATGGTAAGAAATGAATTTAATGTCAAGAATAGCTGGAGACTGGATAATAGAAATAACTTGGAATTGCATTCATGTTGTTTAAAACCACCCAAAAAATACACGAAAAACATTGTCAATGAGGAAATCAGAATGGATAATACCTATCTGTATGTATGCATAGAAATTATTTGTAGATATATTCTGCTTGCACACTAAGCATACTCTGGTTAAAACCCCATGTTGAATTAAACAGTGAAAACCAGGTTCAACAATGAAATTTACATTAAATCATGAACTATTCTTTCAATCATTATATAATTATGTTACATTGCACTAGATAGATACACATAATTATACAGCCATATCAATTATCATGATTATATGTCCAGTTGAGGTAGAAATGATGAGATTATTATTTGTTGTCATATTTTCATAAAGAAATATCATTTCCTCCATCATTCCAAAGTTACAAGACTTTTACAGTAGTTTAAAACATGCTAGATGAAATAACACGAATAAATGAATGTTGTAAGGAGCTGTGAGTAGGACACTTTTCAATCTCGTAGCGACGCCCTCCCACCAACAGTGTGTGGAGCCGGGATCCCCGGTGTGCAAGTGCGCGAAATCGACCGACAACCATGAACGATCGTCTTATAAATATGCAGCCTGTGTTCGCTCCAATAGTTTGATTTCTTACGCACAAAACCTGAAATAAGCACATGGTCTGCTTACAATCGATTATAATCGATTTGAAACAAATCCGCCGTAAAAGTGCAAAGTAACAAGATTCCGACCAAACCATGATGACCGATGTCTTCGCGGTATAGCGAGGACCATATGCAATGTCGATAAAATCAACAAAATTGACTGAAAATGTGGTGGTGAATTATTTGTACTGCAAGTACCTGCATCAACAGTGATGGGTCCATTGATTTCTTGGTCATCCTTCTTTGGTAAAACACAATCAGGACACAGAGAATGGAGGCACGGCAAAAGTTTAGGAAGACATTTCGTCTCAGAGAAAAGCTTGCTACAGCGGGCGCATGCTTGAAGAAAATCCACCGGAGACTTTTCTTGAATATCACTCTCGTCTGATGGCACTGTTATAACTTCATCTTCGGCTGTTACTATCTTTTCCTCGCATTTCTCTGGCCCAGTATATTCACCCGGGCTATCACTAGGTTGGTCCATTGATGAAGCGGGCTCCGCCATTATGACTGAGAGCGCGAAAGTATGAAATTATCTCCCCTTGCTATAAGCTCTGTTGACTGGATGACCTATTTCGAGCTGGATGGACGTCTGCGCAGGGTTGAACCGTCGCCAAGCAGAGCTCCTATCAGAATGCCCATCCTACGTTCGTCACACGGGTTCCCACTACGGCATAACCAGATCTATCCAGTTTATTTGGATTGAACCGGTTCTAGCCGGTTTAATCCACATTACTCTGGATGGTAAATCAAAATAGTTTGTCATCCTCCATGAGTCATATTTATTCACAGACGAGTGATTAATGGATAAACAGATCCGGGTTGGGCCGGTTTTTGAAATATTTTGGGCGCGTATAAAACGGATGAATTTGAGACCTACAAGCATATATGTGTATAGTCCTCTTACACCAAGATTATTATATCATCCCAAGGGATCACTTCACTTTATCAATGCAGAAATAACACTGAGTCAATATTGACGTCATGTTGAGTCATCGTTAGGTTACGCAAGAATCAGGCCACATATATATACTTCGTTTTAGTTGAATGGTTGTTTTTATTTAGGCCCTTTCACAGCCAAACATTCATGTAGGCGTGTATATTACGTTGTCATTTTTCTAATCGAATGATGTTAGAAGGTTGTGTAGGTGTCAGAACAAAGATTAAACCAGAACGAATCACTTCCCTCGTCCATTCTCCCTGAACAGAATACACGTATTGTCGATAGGGTTAGTTGGGTCCGGTTACATTTCGGTAGTTTTCATGAAATGTGGACATGTTAAAAAACAAAAAGGATTTACCCAAAAGGATATAAAGAAAGCCATATGAGCTGTGGGAATGCGTCAGGATGATATTGGGAATTTGAAAGATTTAAAGATCAAATATTAAAAAAGGTGATCACTCAACCCAGCCATTTTCTAATAATATATTCTTCTTGACTGGCATGGCCATTATCGCATTTCCAAATCTAAGGCCCAGCTATATAGCCTGTTTATTGACTAAGGCTAAACAGGCCCAGGCCTGTTCTGTGTCTGTGAAAGACGGCACGTTGGACGTCTGACCCCAGGGAACGAACAAAGCAGGAAAACTGAATCAACATTGACAGCTGCGCGACAAGCCGTCTGCTCTATCCTTTGGCAGGCTGCCAACTCACATAACACACGAGTCACGACAAGCCGCCGCGCCACGTGACCTTCTATAGCGTGGGATTGGTTTCAGCTGTCACGCGGACAGATTTTCTAAAGTTCGCTGTCCGTGCGTACTGGTGTTTGTCTGTCTGTACATACCGCGGTATGCCGCTGGGATTTCGAAATAGCAAGGCGCCTAATGGGCTATAATAAGATTCGTCTTCCAATTCACTATTACAACTGCATGCTGTAATACGGATTAACTTACAAAGTACAGTGTATTGAACAATGTTAATCCCACCTCCCTTGGCGCTTAACATAAAAGCTTTAATGCACGCCTTGTGTTCACAGGGCTGTTCACAGTAGGTGTCTACAAGTGTTACGTAATGCTGAGTAATGACTGCTAATTTGGCTGTGACACAATGTTACATAATGATTGGGCGTAGGCAAGTAATGCATTGTTTGTGACGCAGTACGTCCGATTAAAATGTGACACATATTGCAAGTTGTTCTTACGGATTATGAGTATGCTGTTGGCGTTGTCCGGCGCCCGGCACTTGTTGCGCAGAACATGGATAATGTTTTAAAGTATATATTTCGAGATTCTAACAAATTCGCCTTCGAAAAACCAAGTATTTATAATATTGATAGCCTAATTTCGAATAACTTGAATAGCTTGGGTATACATGACCTGTTTTTAAAACATATCAGCACGCCTATCTCGACGGCGTGGATTGCTCACTATATCAATATCACTTGGCGCAGTCTCGATTTTGTACAGACCACTGTCATGAATTTTGCTGCTTTTAAAAAAACATACGCAATGCTGAGGGTGAAACTGTTCACTGATGACACATGTGGTTATGGCTAAAATATGCCGAAAAGAATCAACTGTAATTCATATGGCAAATGCATTTTACGTGTTGCACTTAACAGTAACTATTACTTATTCCCTATGTATCCGATCCACGTTAAGATAGCCTGCTTAACTGTATGTCTGGTCATCTGCTTAACTGTGGGAACGCCTGACTGTGTTGTTACTGTATGTCCGTGCGTCCTGTTGTCTGCCTTCATATATGTTTGTTTGCCTAACTGTGAGAATGACTAACTGTATATTCGTGCAACCTGCTGTTGGCCATATTGTATTGTAAACGCCTTACTGATTTGTTATTATGCCCATGCATCCTGTTTCTGCCTTATTGTATGGCTGTACATGCCTGCCTAACTGTGTGACCACCTTACTGATTTGTTATTGTGTCCATGCATCCTGTTTCTGCCTTATTGTATGGCTGTGTTCGTCTGCCTAACTGTGTGACCACCTTACTTATTTGTTATTGTGTCCGTGCATCCTGTTTCTGCCTTATTGTATGGCTGTGTTCGTCTGCCTAACTGTGTGACCACCTTACTTATTTGTTATTGTGTCCGTGCATCCTGTTTCTGCCTTATTGTATGGCTGTGTTCGACTGCCTAACTGTGTGACCACCTTACTTTTGTTACTGATGTGACCACCTTACTGATTTGTTATTGTGTCCGTGCATCCTGTTTCTGCCTTATTGTATGGCTGTGTTCGTCTGCCTAACTGTGTGACCACCTTACTGATTTGTTATTGTGTCCGTGCATCCTGTTTCTGCCTTATTGTATGGCTGTGTTCGTCTGCCTAACTGCGTGACCACCTTACTGATGCATCCTGTTTCTGCCTTATTGTATGGCTGTGTTCATCTGCCTATCTGTGTGACAACCTTACTACTGATTTTCTATTGTCCAAGTATCATGTTTCTGCCTTATTGTATGGCTGTGTTCGTCTGCCTAACTGTGCGAACACCTTACTGTCTTGTAATTGTATGTCCAAACGTGCTGCCCAGTTCGTCAAAATGGCGAGTCAAAATCCGTGCATCCTGTTTCTGCCTTATCGATGATGATGATGATGACGACGACGACGACAACCTTACTACTGCCATCCAGGCCATTTAGTGTTTCATCGAAAATGGGTTGATTTGACCGAACGACAGCCCGCCATGAAAGGGTTGATGGCAACCAGAAGGGGGAATTTGAATGAATTATGGGATGGTTTGGTTGGTATTTGTTTTGTTTGCTACAGAAAGCCGGTGCTAAATGGCAAACAGAAATGCCACGTGTCGACCTAAGTGGATCTTTTCGAACAAATCACATGCTTATAAGAAACAACTAGCTCCTTTGAAAAGGAAGTCGCATTTGTCGAAGTATGTTGTAACAAGAATAGCAAGCCTTTGTGACAAAGTGATCTTCCTTTCCTATTGTATCCCCTGATTGGCCACAAGGGGCGGTGGGGGTAGCCTCATGGTTAAAGCGTCCTCTCGTCACGCCGAAGACTCGGGTTCGATTCCCCACATAATGTATGTATGGCGATTTCTGGTGCCCCCGCCGTGATATTGATGGAATATTGTTAATAACGGCGTAAAATTTAACTCACTCACTCATTTTTGATTGGCCACAGACAACCAAAAGCTCCAAAGCAAGTCTAGCGGCCTCAGTCGATCTCCGCTTCCCGTCCAAAACACCCCTGATTACATGTGATGATCTTTTTAAGACACATTGTTATATATCCTTTGCCTGTTGCCTGAAAATTTCAACGTGAAAACATGTCACGCTGAAAAACATTTAAGTTTGTCAGTTACAACAAGGTCTGGCTAATCGAGCAACCTCCACGACAAACAGTTTGTTTAACAAACATGACGGCCTGTCTGGTCCCATGACACGCGACACGCAGTGATCTGCCAATAGCGCTTGTGTCAGCCTGATACTCTCCAAGCACCGTACGAAGTATAGCCCTGTTGTAGTATGGCTAGGAAACGAAACAGGTGCACTTTCCACCATCACTGAGCAGAACGGAAACTGCAGATGCGGAAAGAAGTGTTTGTTTGCTATTTAGGCGGAACGCGAGCTCGACTTAAAATAACCGATGGAAACCATGTCGTGACTTGCCCTCCAAGTAGGCTTTGTGCATTGCAGGGTCGTGTATTTTAGATGTTGAAATGTGCCCCTGTACATAAGAATGAGTGAGCGTGATTTTACGCCGCTTTTAGCAATATTCCAGCAATATCACAACGGAGAACACCAGAAATAGGTTTCACACCTTGTACCCATGTGGGGAATCGAACCCGGCTCTCCGGTGTAACAAGCAAACGCTTTAACCACAAGGCTACCCCACCGCTCCCTGTACATAAGAACAACTCGGGTTTGGACCACGGTCAACTCGAGTTAAGCATGATTTAGATTTACCAAGTGTCAAGGAAAAGAAATATGTGTTGTCCTTATGGAAATGTTGGATGAAGTTTGAAATCCTGTCTATTCGAGTTAAACACTATTTCGAGATACCTAAGAAACCTAAGAAAATGTCGGGTGAAGATGAGACCCCAGCTAACATTTTCGACAGCCCGAATTCGAGAAAGACAAGTTGTTGTGTATTTGTAATAAGTTTCCATGAAGTTTGAATCACTGTTAACTCGAAGCAAGCCGTATTTCGAGATATCCAGTGTTGAGGAGATATCCAGGTGGAGTCTGGACTCGGACGACCGGAAGTTAGGAACTATTCGTATTACCCAGTGTTCGAGAAAGACAACATATGTGTCCGTTCATATGAAGACAAAACATAAAGTTTTGATCCTGTTAAACCCAATAAAATCTTCATCGAATTAAAAGAAAATTCAAAGTAACTGTTATAACTTATTTCAGAAATGCATCTAAAGCTTCTTTGGTTCAAGGTCGCAAGGTATGTAAATGAGTTACATGTATTTCACATGATACCAAGACGTTTTATCATTTCATAACAGATGCAATTAAACCTTTTGAGAATATATCATATGACGACACAGGTTATAAACTAAGACTTTCTTTCACACACATCACAAGGAACCTTTACCATAGATGACGGAACCTAGCGTCAGATCTATTTATAGAAACTAAAGCTTTATCCTATTAATTTATTGATCTGTTTAACCGGAAATAGAACCAGCTTGAGAACTTGTTATGTGAGACTTTTAATCTCACACATGTGGAATCCGTTACGTC